TATTTATGTATGTTAATACCATAAAAATGTAGGATGAAAAAGTGAAAGATATAAAATAAATTAAATAAATAAATATAAGGGTATAAAATGTAAGTGTTAAAAATAATTTCATGGTATTTATGATATATAACATTATGACTAAATGCAAAAATATTCAATATTGAGCTCATTTTGAAGGTATTGACGAGACGATTATAATGATGTAATTTGTTAAAATAAATGTATTATTTAACGTATTATACTGTATTGTAAATCATTTAACAAAAACTTTTAAAAACTATTTTTTATGCACGAATTACTGTTATTGATGCATATTACTTCAAATTCAAGATTACAAGTAAATTTTTGTGTAAGTACAACTTATTAAAGATTCATGTTTGAATTTGTGTAACCAACTGCAAATAAACATAATCAAGTACATGATAAACATCTAATTTTAAATATAAAAAATCTAAAATATAATTAGAATAATCATTGAGTTTTAACAAATACTTAATTATTATCTTTCTATAAAATTGTATTGTTAAAAAATCGGGGCATGACAAAAACCGTCAATCCATATGGTGCGCCTCATACATCACACGTTAACTAAATGTTGTTAGGCAAGAGAAAACATTTGTTGCATTTCACCTCGACACGTTTTCCACATTTTAATTGCATCATGTCTAAGGGTGTGACGATTTACCAGCTTGTATCGTGGTTGTAGTGTTTTTTGGATCAACTTCGTCATGTGAGGATTGTCGAAATGTCCGAAAGGCAACCCGACTTGAATGACATTGTGTTGTCATTTTCGGTTCAACTCGGCATCATACGACCATATTTGACCTTGAGTGTCAAGTAACGGTCGGCTTGAATCTCCCCCCGACCTCAACCCCGGGCACGTTTTTTCGATGTGCCGCCTTAAAGTATAATTTCTTTCCGCCGTAAGGAGAGCTTGACACATTTTTCATTGTGCCTTTCTTTTTTCATTTATAAAGATCACCAAGTTGTATGAATTCTAAATCTCAGACTTTCGTCCATGTTCGGCGAGAACTTGCTTGTTCGTTTGAAGCATCATGTTATTCACCGGCCATTTTGTAAGACAAAGAGAGAAAGAAATGAGAATTATGAAGTGGAAACGATAAATGAATACGAGTCGAATTCACAAAATATAACGAGAAACCGAGAATTGTAAACGTTTTTTTTGGGTTTTTTGCGAATTGAGAACTTGGTATGTAAACCCCTCAACCAAGACACTTATTTATAGTGTTTCGACGGGAAAAAAATTTAAAAAATCAGCTAATAATGACTAGTTTTTTTTTTTTTTGAAGTTTCGGGTCGGGACGGGCTGATCCATAACCGGTCCCGGTCGGTCTCAATCCCACGAAACACTCCAAAACTTGAACCGGTTCCAGGTTGGGCCGGTCCCGCTTCCGATCTTTTGACGGAGTGACGGTATCGAGCCAAACCGGACTGGTTTGGCCATCAAGGGACAAGTACAGATCAATCGTTTCCTCTTAAGGACAGGTTTTTCCTCCACAACCGATTGGGCCCACCTTTAAAATAATAATAATAATAAGTTATAATTTAGTTTTTTGTTTAAGTTTTTTTTTACCTTATCACACCAAATTAATTAGTTTTAATCAATAAAAAATTAAAAATTATATAAATAAAAAAAAACTTCTTTCACTAATGTCAAAAATTATTTTCCTTTAAACAGAAAACATCAACACCTATTTTTAAATAAGTGTGATCTTATATTAACTTGGTTTAAATTTTATTGTCATTATTAATTATAATGTTAAATTTTATTGTTAAAATTATTATTTTTTTAATTATAATAAGTATTTTTTAGGTATTATAATTGTAGTTTTTTTTATTATATAAACTGTGGACCGGTTCATGATTGAGAGTAAAAGATTTATAAAATGTGTAGGAAAGAGAAAACTGACATGACAGTAAGAGAAAATTGACAGTGCCAATCCTTCTTTTGAAGTTGATCTTTCATTTTTTTCTCTCTCGTTCATTTATAACTTATGTATATTTATTTCATTGCTTCTATTTCTTCTGTACCAAGATTGAATGTTCTTTCATCGCCTTGTCGATACAGTCGATAGAGTTAGTTGACAAAGGTTTATGTTTACCTTTATCCTTTGAATCTTTCCTTCCCACTGGACACACATTCGATGTTAGCTCAGGATTCGACGTGTTTGCATTTGAGGATGGTGAGGTGTATTGGCCTGAACCATTTTCCTGTTCCACTCCTATCTTCTACTAGGCCAATGTCTACAGGTCTCTCTGGTTGAGTGATCCGGCACTAGATTAGAAATTCCGGAAATTGAGAAGTAGCAGGATTTGGGTAAAATGCTATTTGAAAACTTAGTGTGATAGTTTGAGAAATTTGATATTTGGTACACTAGGATTTGAAAATTGTCTGGGGTTCATCATAAGAAAGTTAAGATTAGGGTACATTGGAATCTGAGGATTTGTATCGTGTGCATCATCATTTGGATTATAGGATAAAAGTTGAGAGAAACTGAAAAATAGGTTGAATTGGGGCTTTGATGGATCCATTAGAAACCATAGCAGATGAAAAATGAGTGTGAATTTAATGATGGTATGTTCTGAAACCTCAAGCCTACATGACATATAATGGTAATGAAACCATATATCACGGGTGAACAACTATAGACATCCCAGATGAAAAGTAGCATCTACTATAGACATCACAGGTGAACAGTAATGTCTATTATAGATATAACAGGTGAATAGTGCCATATATCAGGAGCGAACAGTGTTTATATATCAATGACATGTGTTCAATAATGTAAGAATTTCATATATCATCCTCGTTATTTTTAAAAATGTCTGAATCTGAGAGTGATTCTTCTTCGTCTTCAACATCTGATAAATTTGTTCAATGGTTTATTGATAATTCTTCCTCTAATTTTGTGTTCACCTTTAAACATGGTTCACACACGACACTTGCTACCATGTGGTTGACGATCAAAACAAGGTTCAAGGGGTCACCTCGGTGGTTTTTCTTCAGTGTCCACTTTTTCACACACATGACACGACACCCTTCGTATGTGAAATATGAAGAATTAAACAATAGACCAAAGATTATCTTGAAAAAATCCACATCTTTTTTTTTTTTTTTTGATTAACCTGGATGTCCAACCTGCTATGCGAACCGACTAATCCCAGGGCAACCACCTGCCTTGCAGATAGCTCGGAGTCAAAGCATTTGAACCTCCATGGCCACAGGGGGATTTTTATTCCTTCTTGGATTTGAACCTGGGACTTCCTGGTACTTTTAACCTTTGGAGCCAAGCTCAAACCAATCAGGCACCACCCTTGTGATTAAAAATCCATATGTTTGTTTCTTATAGTCAATGGTGCTACCACTTAAAACAAAATTCTAGGTCCCTCTTAGTTTATCAGCTAGATTTGATCAAACATGACTAATTTATGATTTATCAGCTAACAACTAGCTTATTAGCCAAACGCTAGCTTTTCAGCTAATAGCTAGCCTATTGTCAAACATAGCCTTGATCATCGAGATCATTTCAATAGGTTCATGTAACCTAGAATAGTCCCTCGGAGAACAAGGTGATGGCGTTCTTTCGTTGTTGCCACCCAATACATACCCGACAAAGATTTCCACTGTTCGCGAGGGACTATAGGTTATAGGGAATTCGTCATTCCGATGTTGGAAAAGTGTGTACCATAACCAGGGAAGGTTCAAACTACAAAAAAATTGTAACTTGGTATATATGTATATCTAATGCATACCAGAAAAACGAGAACCACAGAGAGGCTGCATGCATACGCTCACCGGTATGGCTTCGCATCCTGTTTGATGCCTTGAGGGAGTTGAGACCTGGGTTTGGCGAATTCCACGAATATAACCCTACCATCGAGAAACTGCCAAAGGAAGACCAACGAAAAGTAAGTCCAGAATGTACGAAACATGCAATGTTTTCTCATATTTGATTAGAACAAATACAAATTACAAAACATGTGTCATAAGATCTCTATTTTGTTCAGAAGATTTGGGAAAATTATGCAAAAATGGTTAGTAACCAGCAACTATTGAGCCGACCCACATTGTCCTGCTCCAAGAGCGTCATGGGAAAGGAAAATCGAATACGTAACGGCCTGCTAGGTGGTTGGTTTAAGATATCGGTGCCAATGTGACTACCTCACTGCGGTTGCCAGGCTCGAACCCTTGTGCAAGTATAGGACCATGGAACCAACTATGCTACGCTCTGGGGACAAGATGGGAAAAATCATGACATTGATCTGTCGTCATCAACCTACTCAGTTATATTATTTCCATCAGTTTTCCTTTCATTATGTCTGTAGATGTTAATCACAATTAGATAGTTGATTGGACGTTTCAGATGCTCGATCGTTTTTCCATTTTTCCTCAAGTATTACAGGGTTTCTTGCTAAAATATCATGCTATATTTCGTCGTATATTGTTAAATTTGTGCATATGATAAAATATCGGTTTGGCATCTCTGTCATACTTATTAAGGTTTACAAACATGACTCATATATTACTTGAATCACCATGTTCTTTATCATCTTCTGCAAAATGGTATTGCTATGTACATCTGTGAATGACATCTTGGTTGAGATTTTAATGTCTGAAAAGAATTTTTATGATAAATATGAAACTTTGGTTAGATTAATAAATGTTTTCAAGTCAATAATGGGGATTTTAGATCTATGTGACTTAACTCATTAGGTCCAGCTTAATCATCCAGAGAGTTTATTCAGCAAAACAGACAAACAACAATTTATTTAATTCATTCAGACAACTTTATCCATACAGGACTTAATGGGAAAATAACCAAACAGCCCCAAATGAAATAGATCTATAGACCCCATTATTGACTTGAAAAAAGATGCACTTTTAACCATCTTTAATATAGTAAGACCCAAA